AGAAAAAAGCTGGAAGTGGCGCTGTGGCTCAAGTGGTAGAGTACTAGCCTTCAGCAAAAGCGGCTCAGGGACAGTTCCCAGGCCCTGAGTTCAAGCCCAGTACTGGCACAAAAAAAAAAAATGTTGCTTCTTGGGGGGCATTGATGACTGATGGCTTTAGTTCTAGCAACTCAAAGGAAAAGGCTTGAAGCCAGCAGGGGCAGACAATCTTGAGAGACTCTTATCTCCAATTAGCCAGCAAAAAGCTGGAACTGGAGGCATGGCTTGAGTGGCACAGTGTCAGCTGTGAGTAGAAAAAGCTGAGTGAGAGCATGAGGCCCTGAGTTCAAGCCCCAAACTAGCACCAAACAACAACAACAACTTGCTTCTCTGTGTCAGGAACTGCATGTTAGACCAATCATCATCACAGGGAAGGCCCAGTTAGGAATTTTGGAAATCACAATTTACATTTAGAGACAGAGCAATCACATCTTAGCAGGACAGGAGGCCATTGCTTTCCTGCCCAGGCAAAGGAGGACCACAGAGAGGGCCCTTCAATACAGATAGAGAAACTACAGAACAGATCTTCAGATCCTCCCCTGGTACCAGGAATTCTTGCGTTCTTTGAAAGTACTACTTACATTCTCTTGGGTGCCAAGATCTGGTTTGTGCCAGGTTTCAATTTTAATCAGAAAGTCTTCTTTCATGTACTCATTCTGAAATAATAATAAAAAAAAAAACCTTCAGTCACCAGGATCACAGCTAGAGAATAACTGTCTCTATTACTGGGGATCATGATAGTAGGGAGACTCCAGCTCCAGCTTGACAATAACAGTTAACTTTAAGTACATATTACCCCAATGGAATCAACCGTCATTCCAGCCTGTGAGGTCTATATAGTCACTCTCATTTTACAGATGAAGAAAATGAAATTCAAAAAGGTTAAGTGACTTGTACAAGGCCACAGAAATCAACACAGAAGTAGGCCAGAAAATAGGTCTGTATGACTTTAGAATCCATGTATTTAACCAGTCTTCTATACTGCTTTATTCATAGGGTACTAATGGTTAGTCCAGAAAGTAGAAAGAGAAAGACTCTCTCAACTAGCCTTTTGCAAAGGCAACCCTTCATGCTAATTATTGGCTTAGAGCTCTTTATAATTGGAACAATTGTAAGAAGAAAAAAATGCCCAAAACACTGGAGCTACTCAAAGGAGGAATTCAACCCATTATCCCCTTAGCAGGAATTAGTTTCCCAGAAAGGGGAAGGCATGTGGGTGAAAATGCTGAAGAATGTCATAGAAGGGCCATGACAAAGCGGACAGACATGGAAAAGATATCTTGTTGATTGCACAATTTTGCCAAGGGTCAATGCTCATAGGAGTCAACAGATTGCTGAACCATCATGTTGCTGAACTGAAACTTCTCTTCAACCCTGAATAGTCATGATCTGAGGTGGGCAGGAAAAAGACTCTTAGTTCATTCTGTACCCTAAGACTTATCAAGCATAGCCAACTAGCAAGTTCCTCACTAGGATTGAAAATCCCAAGCCTCAGTGACTCCACACGTCATCCAGGGAAAGTAGGAAATATCCAGGACCTCTAATATGTTTACATTATTAGTTCTTTTCTTAGATCATTTATAATTTCAACCCCCCCTGAAAATACTTACTGTAATAACTGCTCCAAGGCAAGCACATGGAAAGAAGAGAGAAAAAGGTTAATAACAACAAATAAATACCTGTTCCCCATCCTCTGGGACCCTGCATAGTAATAAAGCATTCCCTACTTCCCATAGCTTATTCCATTCTTTTTTTTTTTTTTTGGTTGGTCATGGGGCCTGAACTCTGGGCTTGGGTCCTATCCCTCAGCTCTTCAGCTCATGGCTAGCACTCTACTACTTGTGCCACAGCACCACTCCTGGCTTTTTCTGCTTATGTGGTGTTCAGGAATCGAACCCACGGTCTCATGCATGCAAGGCAAGCGCTCTACCACTAAGCCACCTTCCCAGCCCAGCTTACTCCATTCTTACCTCCAGGCCTCAGAGAATTAAGAGTGCTTCAATTCCCAACTCACCTCAAGTTTTACTCATATGAAAGTCCTGAAATATCAAATCTGGACTTAAAGTAGGGGTTTCTTGAGACTCCTCTTTGATCAGTTGAGGCCCTATAGCCTACTACTGTGTGGTCAGACCATCACCTGCACCTTGCCTCCACTTCTACCTCGAGGAACACAGAGCAAAGTACTCTGAGCCAAGCACTCTATCTGCTGGTGACATCCTTCCTCTACTGTAACCAAATCTCTCCCTTTCTGCACTCCTGCTCATTGTAATGGGACCCCTTGGAAAGCACAGTTCAATTATTTATCAGAGAAAATGACTGAAGCTCTCATATCACTGGGGACAGAATAGCTCCCTCCTGACAACGCCTAGTTCACTCTATCCTATGAATATGGGAGCTACTTCAGTTTTCTGATGGATACCACTTTCATGGGTTTGGGGTATACGGAGCCAACAAACTGCAAATGTGAAATTAAGGCGACCTCTGGAACTGAAAGTAGGAAAAGATGAAATACAGGGAGGTGCAAGCCACTGTACAGAAAAAACTTGTCACCAGGAACTGGTGGCCTGTAATCCTAGCCACTCAGCAGGCTGAGATCTAAGGATCACGGTTAGAAAAAGCTACAAATGGGCTGGGAAGGTGGCTCAGTGGTAGAGTGCTTGCCGTGCATGCTGAGGCCCTGGGTTCGATTCCTCAGCACCACATAAGCAAAAAGAAAAAAGCCAGAAGTGGCTCTGTGGCTCAAGTGGTAGAGCGCTAGCCTTGAGCTGAAGAGCTGAGGGACAGCGCCCAGGCCCCATGACTAGACCAAAAAAAGAAAAGAAAAAGCTAGAAGTAGCACTGTGGCTCAACTGGTAGAGCACTAGCCTAGAGCACAAACAGGCTCAGGGACAGAGCTCAGGCCCTGAATTCAAGTCCTAAGACCTACAAAAAGGAAAGAAGGAGGAGAAAGAAGAGGAGGAGTCAGAGGAGGAAGTAGGAAGAAGAGGAGGAAGAAAAGAAGACGAAGAGGTGGAGGAACAGGAGGAAGAGGAAGAAGAGGAGGAAGAGGAAGAAGAAAAAAGATTGTGGATAATTTCCTCAAACTAATTAGAGATGCTTGGAAGGAAACAGCAGATTAAGTTGTTTTTTTTTTGGCGGTCATGGGGCTTGAACTCTGGGCCTGGGCGCTGTCCCTCAGCTCTTCAGCTCAAAGTGAGCGCTCTACCACTTGAGCTACAGCGCCACTTCCGGTTTTCTGGTGGTTTATTGGAGATAGGAGTCTCACGGTCTTTCCTGCCTGGGCTGGCTTTGAACCGCGATCCTCAGATCTCAGCTAGGATTACAGGCGTGAGCCACCAGTGCCCAGCCAGATTAAGTTTTTAACTAAGGGACTATAACTAAAATAACTGCTCAATTAGCAGCTTGAGAAAACCATTTTAGGAGGAAAAAAAAAAAAGAAATGATGGGTGCTATATGTATTACAGGGAAGGCCAATTTGGTAGAAGTTCTATTCCACTATTGTGGGAACACACCTCCACCCCTAGAATAGAGATGGCAGTGTCAAGTCTAATTTGATGAAAACTAGCAATAAGCTCTCCAATTAAACACAATATTCTGAATCTACCCTCTCCAAGTCTGGCCTCAATGGGGACAGAACGTGCTAATTAACAGACACAAAAACCTCATCAACTTAACCAAGTGGACATTTTTCACTACCTGTTGGTTGTTTTAATTGTTTCCCTTGTAGAATTCACAAGGAAAGAATGCTCTGATCAGTGAGCAGGGATATCTGGTTTCATTCATAATTCTGTATTTCAATATAAATGCAGAGATTTGGGAGTTTTATACATTCTTGGTTGTAAGAAACAGAAGCAGATTTACTCAATTCTGATAAATTGGCTTTCTGAACATATGAACTTTTCTGGATTTTAATGGTAACTTGAGTGATAATAACTGCCCCTACTCTTCTCCTAGCCCTCTTCCCCTTCAAACATCTTTATATTCAGAGCATTCCAACTACAACCTTGAGGCTACAACAAATAGAAATTCCCAGCCGGGCGCTGGTGGCTCACGCCTGTAATCCTAGCTACTCAGGAGGCTGAGATCTGAGGATCGCGATTCAAAGCCAGCCCGGGCAGGAAAGACCGTGAGACTCCTATCTCCAATAAACCACCAGAAAACTGGAAGTGGCGCTGTAGCTCAAAGAGCTGAGGGACAACGCCCAGGCTCAGAGTTCAAGCCCCACGACCAACAAAAAAAAAAAAAAACAAATAGAAATTCCCAGGCCAGGTGTTGGTGGCTTACAACTGTGATTCTAGCTACTCAGGAATCTGAGATCTGAGGATCTTGATTTGTTTGTTTGTTTTTTGTCAGCCATGAGGGTTGAACTCTGGACTTGGGTGCTACCCCTCAGCTCTTCAGCCCAAGGTAAGCACTCTACTGCTGGAGCCACAGCCGGTTCCGGTTTTCTAGTGGTTTATTGGAGATTAAGAGTCTCATGGACTTTTCTGCATGGGCTGGCTTTGAACTGTGATTCTCAGATCTCAGCCTCCTGAGTAGCTAGGATTACAGGCGTGAGCCACCAGTGCCTGGCAGAATCCTGGTTTGAAATCAGCCAGAATGCAAAAGTCTGTGAGGCTCTTATTTCCAATTAATCATAGAAAAAGCCAGAAGTGGTTTTGTGGCTCAAGTGATAGAGTACTAGTCTTGAGCAAAAAGGAGCCATGGGGCTGGGAAGGTGGCTCAGTGGCAAAAAGGTGCCCAGAGACAATACCCAGGCCCAGAGTTCAAGCCACAATACCAACAAAACAAAAACATATATTTCTCTTCCTCTTCCCACCTTCATCTATAGATCACCCTATGAACACTTCCTCATAGTCCAAACCATAGGCTGCAGAGAAAGAGAGGAAAATAAAGAGAACAGAAATTGTGAAAATGAATAAGGTTTCCCAATCTGCTCTCATTCCTCTCAGAATAGGATTAACTTTATCCATCTTAGCTCCAACTTGATCTACTTAGACCAAACTAAGACATTGATATTAACTATCTCTCTTCCATCCACTCCTGGTTTCTGTCTCTTATTTTAAAAGAGCAGGTTTCTGGGTAAACAGGTCTAGGATTTAACTCTTCACTAAAGAGAGCAACTTTCCTCCTTTCCTACGACTGTCTCTCCTGTACCTGGAGAATTTAAAAATTCTATTTTTCTTGTGTCGAGCACCAACATGCAGACTAACATTTGTTGTGTAGATAAATGCCATGCCAACTATAGTACATTCCTCCTAAGTAGCATCTCTCAGCATGAGCTGCCCACACAGAAATTACCTCAGGCCTGGAGAAGTTCATGTTATCTGTTTGCCCCTCCATGCCAACCTGGCTAGGATTCTTAGAACACAAGCTCATTGCAACTCTCCTAGACATTAAGAAAATTTACCTTTGGCCCTAGACCAGACACACCCTGCCTCACTGCTTCTGTGTGTATTTGTATACTGTTATCTAGGCTAGCCTGGAACTAGCTGTGTTGCCCAGCTGCCCTTGAACTCAAGGTCCTCCTGCCTCAGCCTCCCAACTGCTGGGATTAGCACAAGGCCTTTAGAGAACATGGGTACATGCCTCAATTCCAAGAACTAAACAGCTTCCACTGCCATGCTTAGAAAGTAGTGATGTTTGGACTTACACCAATAAAACCTTAAGTGCTACATATGCCAGGTCCCACCAATGCCTGTGCATCTCCTGATGAAAGATCTTTGAACTTGTGTAGCACGAGGACAGCTGGAAAGAGCAATGACTTTAGTCATTGCCAAAGTCCACAGGATAAGGATCACCTGGGATCTACACATAAAGATTTTGTCCTTATTAGATACAACCTAGAAAGTACCAGGTCCAAAAATAAAGCAAGCAAGCAGAAGCTAGTAGAAGGACCCTTGAGCCAGACTGTGCCAATGAATGAAGGTTGATGGAAGAAAAGGTCACCAACCTCAAAAACCTCTAGAACTTTCTTGGCATATAAGTCAAGTCAGTGTTAGCTTGGACTCAAGAGGTCTACTCCTCCATGTCCCTTGAGGTTTCAAATCTTGGACTGCTGAGTGAACTAATCAAAAGGAATTCCATAGCTGGGTGCCCATGGCTCACGCCTGTAATCCTAGCTACTCAGGAGGCTGTGATCTGAGGATCTCAGTTCAAAGCCAGCCCAAGCAGGGAAGTCTGTGAGCCACTCATCTCCAATAAACCGCTTGAAAAAACCAGAAGTAGAGCTATGGTTCAAAATGGTAGAGTGCTTGCCTTGAGCTGAAGAGCTGAGGGACAGTGCCCAGACCCAGAGTTCAAGCCCCACCACTGACAAAAAAAAAAAAAAAGGAATGCCATAGTGAGGCTGGGAATGTGGCTTAGTGGTAGAGTGCTTGCCTAGCATGCATGAAGGCCTGGGTTGGATTCCTCAGTACCATACTAAACAGAAAAAGCTGGAAGTGACGCTGTGGCTCAGGTGGTAGAGTGCTAGCCTTGATCAAAAGAAGCTCAGAGACAGTGCCTGAGCCCTTGAGTTCAAGTCCCAGGACTGACAAAACAAACAAACAAAAAAGACTGGAGACAGACACGGGTGGCTCATGCCTGTATTCTCAGCTATTCAGGCATCTGAGATCTAAAGATCCTGGTTCAAAGCCAGCATGGGCAAGAAAGCTCAGGAGACTCATCTCCAATTAACTACCAAAAAGACAGAGTGGGGCTGTGGTTCAAGTGGTAGAACACTAGCCTTGAACAAAAAAGCCCAGGGACAATGCACAGGCCCTGAGACCAATTCCCAGGACTGGCACACACAAGTGCCTACAGTTTAAGCCCCAAAAACAAACAAAAAAAAAACCCAAAACAATAAAATATTAACAGTGACTATCTAGAGATAAATCATGGTTGATTTTTTTGCTTTTATTTATTTTCCAAAATACATGAATAGAACATTACTTTTATAATTGATAAAAGCAAAACATACAAAAAAACAATAAAAATTACTATACTTTCCTCAGACCAGAGGGGTTAGTTCTGAACTGTCAAAGGCTATGACTACTTGGTAGTCCTCACTAATTTTTTTTTTTGGGCCAGTCCTAGGGCTTGAACTCTGAACCTGGATGCTGTCCCTGAGCTTCTTTTCACTCAAGGCTAGCATTCTAGCATTCTATCACTTGAGTCACAGGTGCTACTTGCAGCTTTTTCTGAGTAGTTTTATTGGAAATAAAAATCGTACAGAAGCCGGGCCCCTGTAATCCTAGCTACTCAGGAGGCTGAGATCTGAGGATCACGGTTCAAAGCCAGCCTGGGAAGAAAAGTCCATGAGACTCTTATCTCCAATAAACCACTAGAAAACCAGAAGTGGAAGAAGGCAGGGATAGCACCCAAGCCCAGAGTTCAAGCCCCATGAGCGACCAAAAACAAACAGAAACAAGAATCTTACAGACTTTCCTGCCTGGGCTAGCTTTGAACCGTGATCCTCACATCTCAGCCTCATGAGTAGCTAGGGTTATAAGTATAAGCCACTGACACCCAGCTGTCTGTCCTTACCTATAATGGCCTATTTCATCCCTTCACTGCTTTAATTTGGAAAGTGACAGTGGGATGTAAAAGCCCTCATGTACCCCCTCCCTGGGTCCACTGGACACCTTTGTCTATCCAGCTCTTAGTGGAGTCTATGCTCACCAGTTCTGCAGTATGGGTAGGCATTCCATGCTTTCTCGTGTATATTCAGGGCTCCCTCTGGGGCCAGCATGCGAACAAAAGTAGGTACTTTGCTGTAGAGAGAAAAAATGGTAGTGAAGAAATGGAGAGAAAGAAAGGAAAAACAGGCTTTTAATATCATCTTTTTTAGGCCATGCCTCCAGCTTCTTCTATGGGAAGTACAGAGAAGTTCCCTTGTGATAAGTAGGTTACTCTGTGAAAAGCCACCTGCTAGGGCCTGACACCTACGGTTGACTGGCTTCTTATATCACCCCAAACTTGCCCTTTTCCACCCCCCCCAACCAGGTCCAGGACAGCCTATTAGACCTTACCAGACATTCTCATTACACAGTTTTCCAAAGCTCACTGGCACAGGGCACTATACTATCTAGAACAAGGAGAAGCAAAGGAGATGGCTTGAGTGTATACTTCCAGGGGTGAACTGCATTTGCCAGTCTAGGTTTACTGGTCAAGGTGACTGGCTGATGAACTCAGAATACAGAATCCTACATGACCCAGTCTAATTTCATAAGTTGCAAAAGGACAAAAGACGTTGGGGGCGGGGCTGGGAAGGTGGCTCAGTGGTAGAACGCATATGTCTCGCATGCATGAGGCCCTGGGTTCAAGTCCTCCGCACCACATAAGCAGAAAAGGCTGGAAGTAGCGCTGTAGCTCAAGTGGTAGAGCACTAGCCTTGAGCTGAAGAGCTGAGGGACAATGCCCAGGCCCAGAGTTCAGGCCCCACAACCAATCAAAAAATAAATAAATAAATAAGATGTTAGGGCTATCTGCCTCCCAAAACAAATAAATACCTCCTTTCTATTTGGAGATAGAGTCTTGCTATGTAGCCCATATTGGCCTTTAACTTACAATCTTCCTGTCTCAGCCTCCCAAGTGCTAGCTAGGATTACAGGTGTTTACTACCACAATTTGCTGATATTTTCTTCTATTTTTTCGTGTGTGTGTGTGTGCGCGCGAGCGCGCACGCGCGCACGCGTGCTACTGCCATGGCTTGAACTTAAGGCCTTACATTCACTTGGCTCTTTTGCCTACTGCTGACGCTCTACCACTTAGGCCACACCTCTAACCAGGCTTTTTGCTGGTTAACTAAAGATGGAGTCTCTAGTCTCCTGAGTAGCTAGGATTATAGTGTGAGCCGCTAGCACCTGACTTTTTCTCAGTTTTTAACTAGTAATCTTCATGGTCTTAGCAGAATCTAGCAACCTCATAAGTACTTCAAGCCTAAGAGCAAGCTAGCCCCAGGAGAGAGCTAACTCAGCTTAGAGAAAGACTCTCATGCACTACAATAGTGCATGAGATACTTCTATGTTCCAGATACACAGAATAAACCAAACTAAACAGGGCAAATAACAACACGAAGGTACACACTCTCATGGTAAACAGGGTTCAGGGAGTGGGGGGAGAGGGAGACATGGAGTGCTGTGTGAACATGGCAAGGTGGCACCTCAGGAGAGCTGGGATGACATGAACACACGTAGCAGGGAATATGAAGGATTAAGCAGACAATAGGATGGGAGTGAGGCAGAAAAATCTGTGAGGAAGAGTACGCGATTGGCCCAAGGTATGAGGTGGTGTAATACAAGAGAACAGCACTCATCATAGAAGATCTTGTAGGTTATGTCTGACAGTACGGACTTCATCTTGAGGGCAAAGGGAAGCCATCTATCACTTTCAACCTGGGAGCAACAGATCTTCCAGACAGGATATGTGCAGCTATGTAGAGGTTAGAAGGTAGGAAGACCAGGTGGGGGAGCTGCTATCATAATCCAGGCCAGAGATGACAGAAAGAAATAAATATATTAGAGATGCTAGGGAGATACAGTTAACAGGACCTTTGCTTGGAAGGCTTCTGTCCTGAGAGCAGGTGTTGACAGCAGTCACTGCTACTTTTAATACTACTATTGCTTGTTAGGTGGTTTGGTGTTAAAGAAAGAACAGGGGTCACGGGTCAAGGTTTATACTCAGTCACAACTGAATCAGAGGAACCAACTGGCTCCTTTTGCCTAAAATACCATTTCAAAGTCCTCTTTAAAAAGTGCCAATAAAGCCAAGGGCTGATGGCTCACACCTGTAATCCTAGCTACTCAGGAGGCTGAGATCTAAAGATCATGGGTCAAAGACAACCCGGGCAGGAAAATCCACGAGACTCTTATCTCAAATAAACCACTAGAAAACCGGAAGTGGTCCTCTGTACGGTATTCTCACAATTAAAAAGAAAAGAAAAGAAAACCGGAAGTGGCGCTGTGGCTCAAATGGTAGAGCACTC